GCAACAGTCTGTCCTGACCCCCCTAAACACTGCCCACGGGGCCCCTACCTCACCCCGACTCAGAATCTGCCTTCCTTAGGGCCAGGGGAGAGAGGGGGAAACAACCAGGGCTCTTGTCACAGAAAAGGAAGCTTGGTGGCGCAGTGGTTAAGCACGGGGCTGGCTCACTGAAGAGGCAACTGTTCCCACACACCAGCCGCCCCACAGGAGATACAGGTGGGGTCTTCTTCCGTCAAGATTACAGTCTTGGTGACAATGGGACAGTCTTGCTCTGTCCCAAGGGGCACTAGGAGTCCGAATGGGCTCACAGTGGCAGGTGCGGTTTCCTGAAACTAATGGCCATTAGCGAGCTTGCCATTCCTCCAGTTAAGGTGCTGGGAACGTCTACCAGGCAAATGCTTGCCTGCTCGTGATGGGTGTGCCTAAATTCCATATACCTGACACTGCACGGTGCTGCAAAGCAGGAGGAGGACGCGTTCTCCAAGGTGCTGCACAGAGCTGGGTTTTGCAGATTCCTAGGTTGGTTTCCTCCGCGGGGCTAGGCCGCCCCCTGGTGGCACAGTCCCATTCTCCTGCTCACCATGCCTCTGCTGCCTTCGCGCGAGGATCTGGCAAAACCCAGAACCTCAGAAAAGTGGGTGAAGGGAGAAGTCGGACAGTGTAAGACATGGAAAAATAATAATAATTTATAAATTATCAAGGGTTCATGAGGGAAGGGAGCAGGGACGGAGAGAAAAAATGAGGAGCTGATACCAAGGGCTCAAGTAGAAAGAAAATGTTTTGAGAATGATGATGGCAACAAATGTACAAATGTGCTTGACACAATGGATGGATGGATGGATGGATGGATGGATGGATGGATGGATGGATGGATGGATTGTGATAAGAATTGTATGAGCCCCCCCCCCAATAAAATGATTTTTAAAAGAAAAAGAAAAAAACAAGAACCTCAACATCACCAGTCCCGGTGGCACCGAGGCTACACGATTGGCTGCTTGAACTGACCAATGGTCCCCTGAGGAAAAGACAAGGCTTCCTGCTTCAGTCGAGGTTTACAGGGTCAGCAAACCAATGAAGCAGTTCTACGCTTGTCTGATGGGGTCACTAGGAATCAGATTCTATCAGTGTCAGGGGAACACATGATAGTTAAGCATGTTGCTGCTGACCGAAGAGGTCAGACAAGCAGATGTGGGAAGAATAGGATGGAATAACAACTCCACTCTCTGGTCACAGATTGATACAATCGACAGAAGGTCTCATTCAGGCCGTGGCCTACTGATACAGGTTGACCCTGAGGGGGAGCTAGCTCACTTCTGCTGCTGGCTCTGGGTCCTGCATCTGCTTGAACAACCTCCTTGCCCTATCCTCTGCTGATCCCAGGAGTCATCATCGACCTGTTGACCTTGGATTCATTCTGCTCTGCACCCACCCACCTGTGGTCTTCCTCCTTCCTGGTTGGTTGGTCCCTGCAGCCACAAGGGTCAGGAAGGGCTTCCAGCTTACCATCTGACCCACATACTCAACCCATATTGGACTTACCCACTTTCCAACTGTGTGAGCCGTGTCTTGATATAAATCTCTTTCTAGTCACTTCTAAGATGTACACACAGAACAAGAGAATACTGCATGGTTTTAAATCAAGGAAGGTGTGCATCAGGGTTACAGCCTCTCTTCATACTTATTCAATCTGTATGCTGAGCAAATCATCAGAGAAGCTGTGTTACACATAGAAGAATGCGGGATTAGAATTGAAGGAAGACTTCTTCACAACTTGCGATATGCAGAGGACACACCCTTGCTTGCTGGAAGTGAGGCAGTCTTGAAGCACTTGCTGATGAAGATCAAGGATTAGAGCCTTCAGTATGGATTTCCACTCAACGTAAAGAAACCAAAATCCTCACAACCGGAGCAGTGAGTGACGTTATGTATGACAGAAGGAGAACATAGTGAAGCTGTCAAGAATTTCATCGTGTCTGGATCCACAAGCAATGCTCATGGAAGCAGCAGTCAAGAGATCACTGACTCATGGAAGTGGCAACAATTGTGGAAGCCGAGGTCATGATGCAGTGTGTTTAAAATTTTTTAAAAAGACGCATTGTATTGGGGAAATCTGCTGCACAAGACCACTTTAAGATATTGAAAAGCATATGTATGGATTTTGATAAGAGTTGGATTATGAGTTCCCAATAAAATGATTTTTTTAAAAGGTGTTGAAAAGCAAAGATATTGCACGGTGAGGACTAGGGTGCACCCGATCCAAGCCCTGGTATTTTTCAAGTGCTCGTGTACCTATAAAGGTTGGACGTGGAATAAGGAACACTGAAGAAGCATCGATGTGTTCTCAGTGCCTCCACCACTCGCTTGTCCTGCATACTCAGCCCACTGTGTGTGTGTGCAGAGATGTTCCTTCAAAAATACTATCTTAACTACTGTCAAGAATACCATTGGTTAAGGAGGCGTGGTGGCACAAGCAATTAAGCCCTTGACTAGTAAATAAAAGGTTGGCACTTTGAACCTACCTTGGGAGAAAGACTTGGCAATCTGTCCCTGTAGAGATTACAGTCTAGAAATCTCCCGGGGCAAGTTCTGCCCTGTCACCCACGGTCACTATTGACCTGATGGTGCACAACACCAACCAGGCAAAGCCCACTGCCACTGGAAGAAGCCCCGCTGGGCAGAGCGGAAGAGCTCCTTTCGCGTTTCTGAGGCTGTGACTCTCCCCTGGAGCAGACAGCCTCGTCTTCCTCTTGAGGAGCGATTAGTAGGTTTGAACTGCAGACAAAGTGGTTAGCAACCCAATACCTAACACCCAGTACCACCAGGGCTCCCAAACACCACCACCACCACCAGACGCCCCTTCAGGAGGCTCTCTGCTCCTGGCAAGAGCTACAGTTCTGAAGCCACAGGGCAGTTCTACCCTGTCCCACGGGGTCGTCATAAGTTGGAATTGGCTTGGTGACCATGAGGTTTTTTTCTTTTGTGTTGTCTTGTTAGGGGCGGGGGGATTGGTGGCTTTAGAGTTAAACACTTGCCTGTTTACCGAAAGGTTGGCAATTTGAACCCAGTCAGTCACTCTCCAGGGGAAAGACATGGTGGATCAGCTTCCAGAAAGACGGCAGCCTAGAAACGCCTATGCAACCCTCCTACACTGTCACATGGAGTCTCCGAGAGATGGAACTAACTCCACAGCACCTGCCACCACCACCACCACCCCTACCACAACCACCACCATGGGTAGATCCACTTCACCAACCTGCTCTGTGATCAAACCTGTTCACTCAGGGTTGGGAAAAGGTTCCAAACGGGAAGAAAAGCAAAGGCAGCAGGAGCTGGGGCCTCAGACGAGGCCCTGTCCAGCCAGAGGAACGTGAGTTCCTGAGCAGATGCAGGCACCCAGCCCCAGACACCAGGGCTTCCTTTGAACTGCTCGTCCCTCCCTCCCCTGCTTCCTTCACTCTACTCTGTGCCGCTAGTCCCGTACTAGCATTTCACGTGGGCCGTTCTGTGAAAACAACCGGATTTATCCACCAGCAGCTTGGACGTTTCTCTTTCCATTCCTTCAGATGATACTGTCAGAATCAGTGAAAACCCCACCCTTAAGTTTCTTGCTGCACCCACACACGCCGCCGCCACCCCACCCATTGTTACCAATCCACTGAGAATCACAGGGGGAGCACTCGGCTGACCGACACAACGGTAAGTCGAACTGTCAGGCTACACAAGCAGACACCATCATGACACGGAAATAGAGACGCTGAAGCAACCGCTTCTCATCCCGTCTCTCGTCTAGGTCTGCACACTTCTGAAGGCAGTATTTCCATCTCTCTAACCTTCCCCCAAAGAAGTCTCTGCTCTGATCTACACCACAGCGAAACAGCCGTCTGGGCGTCTTCAAGGGACCCGCAATATTCTTTGAGTTAGGGAACCAAAGGAATCCGAGGGGCAAGCGCAGGGCTAGACAGTGGAAAGATCGCTTTCTCAACAAAATTCTCACAGCCTTTGCTACCCTGCTGTGATGGGGAAACGTTCTTGGGCACAACTTTCCTGGCCTTTTCTCACCGGTATGCTTTTAAAATGTCTTCTTCTAACTTATCCCTAACAAGCCCCCAGGTTGTCCTGTGTCCTCCCATTGCCTGCTGGGCAGACCTCTCTGGCTGGATTTCCATCTCTGGGTGCTTCCAACCTGCCTTAGCCTGGTGGGTCCACCTGAAAGCTGCTGCCTCACGTGGTGCAGCATCCTCGGAGATGTGCTGCAGCGCTGCACCGGATGTGGGAAGGCATCCAATTGAATTCTGTGAAAACTTTGTTCTGGGCCCTGACCTCACAATCTTGCGCCTCCACTGAGGGCATACAAAGTACCTTATTTTATTTGGGGGGGAGGGGGGAGGGTATTCGAAGCCGACTAAGAAATGTCTGGCTGAGGGAACGTGTCAGCAGTCACCCAGTGATCGCAGAGACATGTTTACACGTGTTTGGTTTGAAATAAACCTGGGTGGGTGGGAGCTGAAACCCCACCAGTAGGGAGGCGCTTTGACTCGCCCTCACATTGTAACCATGTTGACCATTTTTGAAGACTTTATTTCCCCTAAATACTTAATTTATTAGGTTAAAAATTAAGGCAATTACAGGGGTGGTTTCTCCCCACTGCTTTTTAACTTGGGGGCATAGAAGTCTGTTTTTAAAGCGGGCCACACCTGAAAAGTCACCCAGAGCAGAGCATTTTAAGCGTTTTCTACCCAAGAATCCTTTCGCAACATAGACAAGCGCTTCCAGAAACATCTAGGATCCGTTATCTGTCTGATTTTGAATTAATTTGGGGCCATTGTGGATCCAGATACCTTTTACTCTTGTCAAACGTTTCTCGGCCCCACACCAAGTTAGGTGGCCGTTATGGGCTCGGGACCCGCACTGTGGGAAACTGAGAGTCCTAGAGGGCTGCGGCAGCAAGCAGATGGGCTTGGTTGACAGACCCCCCCAGGCCATTGCCCAATGGGCTTTACCTGTGTGATGAAGTCCAGGAAGCTGAGGATGGGCCCGTTGTGGAAGACTGGGTAATAGAAGACGTAGGCCAGCATCCAGGCGAAGGTGTAGGAGGCACTCTCAGTGGGCAGCTGCTGCCAGCATGCCTCGAGGCTGAAGCTGGTGTAGTAGAGGCAGCGGACGGTCAGCGTGAACTGGAGCAAATAGTATTCCTCCTCTGTCTGGTACCACCTCCTCTGCAAGACAAATGACAACCATCGTCGTATGGCAGAGAGAGCTATCAGACAGTCGACAACATGGGCACCAGGTCCTCCGTGATCTGAGCGGCCCAGACGGTCCTGGGGGCAAAAGGCCTCGTCCACGTCTACAGTTGTGGTGTTATAAAGGGAACCACGTTGAACTCAAATTCCTCAAAAATTGAGACTTACTGCATTGCTTGAGACTTGGGGCCTCCCTAAAATTATCACCTAGAGATAAGCTTTTTCTTTTTTTTGCCTTTAACCATTTTATTGGCATAATTTGCATATGATACAATCCACTATTTTAAATATATTCAAAAGAGTTGTGCAAACATCACCACAGTCCATTTTAGATCATTTCCTTCATTCTTGTTTCCATTATTATTAGCTCCCCAATTCACCCAACCTCTCCTAGGGAGCTTATTCATCTAGGTACAGTCTCCAAAGATATCATTTAAAGCAGGGGTCCTCAAACTACAGCCGGCGGGACACATGCGGCCCGCCAAGGACATTTATCGGGCCCGCCGGGTGTTTTTGCCCCATTTTGTTTTTTACTTCAAAATAACATATGTGCAGTGTGCATAGGAATTTGTTCATAATTTTTTTTAAACTGTAGTCCAGCCCTCCAACGGGTCTGAGGGACAGTGAACTGGCCCCCTGTTTAAAAAGTTTGAGGACCCTCTGATCTAAAGAAAATAATATATATGTATAAAATATACATGTGTGTGTGTGTGTAAAAGTAAACCCAACACCAAAATAAAGCACACAAAAATCCTCCATCTAAAAAAAGCAGAAAATAACAAATCTAGAACAAGTTATAAATGGGGTCAAAAGAAAACAAAGGGCAAGATGTTGAATTTTAACCTAAACTATATCTGCAGTAATCCACTTTCCAGTGCACGCTGTCTGAGGACAAGACTACTCACATCCCTGGTCAATGGTCTCAGGGAGTCCAGGGGGGTTAACCACCCGGAGAACTCTGCAAATACATTTACATCTTCGCTGGCATCAATAGAAATGGGGAAACCGTTTTCTCTGAAAACTTTCACTCAAATCACAATAAAAAGCTTTATGAGAGAGAAGGAAAGGCAGGCCTAAGCTCAATCCACATGGAAGAAGAATACCAGCCTGTGTGATCCAAGGATTGTAAGTAATAAACTCTAAAACCAGAGGAGAGGATTGTATTAGAGCTTAAATTCTGAACACCCAGTTTGCTGATATAAGTCTTATGCCAAAATTATAACATTGAGATACCTGATAGGTAAATAACAGGTTGGCTCATAAAATAATGAATAGCATCTATGAGAAATATGCTTCTTTGAAAACACATCTGTAAGAGAACAGTTATTTAAAAAATTACTTTCTAGCAAAGATGAGAAGACAAGGGTAATGGAAACTAAAGCATTGGAAATGATACAACCAAATGAAATGAATGAGGATGACGACCCAGCCAAAAGTCCATTGCTGTGGAATCAGTTCTGACTCAAAGACCCTCTAGGACAGTGTAGAACTGCTCAAATGTCTGGCTATAAATATGTATGGAACCAGATCATCACATGTTTCTACTGAGGAGCAGATGATGAGTTTGAACCACTGACCTGTCAGTTAGCAGTCAAGTAGTGTGCCACAAAGGCTCCCTCTCCTTACTGCCACAGTCTAAGTTCTCTACCTCTATTTTTATCTGTCATACAGTCACCCAGGACACCCAGACAGCCTTCTCAAGGACCAGGACCCGATACCCCCCAACCACACCAACAGGCTTCGTCATGATAAACAGAGGCTTTCGTTTTACTTGGCTCCACGTCAACTCCCAAGAAAGCAGCACTTAAGAAATCAAGCAATGTATCGCACTGAGGAATCTGCTAAAAAAGTCCGCTTTCACGTGTAAAAAAGCAAAGTTGCTACTTTGAAGACTAAGGTGCTCCTGACCCAAGCCAGGGAGCTTCTGATCCCCCCTCATCTGTATGCAAAAAATTAACGATAAAGAAAGAAGATCAAAGAAAAATCAACGATGCCTATAAATTACTGTGTTGGCCAAGCTTGTTAACAAAACCAGAAGAGGTGTAGCCAGAATGCTTCTTAGAAGCAAGGATGGTGAGAGTTGGTCTCGTGTGCTTTGGACACGTCAGAACAGACGTGTCTTTGCAGAAAGACATCATAATTAGGGGATCAGCAAAAAAAGAGGAAGACCCAATCCAATATGGATCAACACGGCAGCCACCACCATGGACTCAAACACAGTCATGGGTGCGAAGGTGTCAAAAACGTTTTTGTTTTTGTGATGCATGTGGTTGCTATGAGTTGTAAATAATGACGCACTTAACAACAAGATGGGACTCTTTCCTGGGTGGTGTAAACAGTTCAAGTGCTCAGCTGCTAGCCGAAATGTTAGAGGCTCACGTCCACTGGGCAGCACTGCAGAAGAAAGACCTGGTGACTGATTTTCAGAAAACCCCCTGGAGCACAGTTCTACTGCTACACCTAGCGCCACCAGGAGCCGAAATCAACTCGACAGCAACTGGTTGCACACATTACAGACCAAGGACAGAACAAGGGATCATCATTTAGCTTCTACGGCTCTTTTTACAAAGAATAGCTAACCACTCACTGAGCAGTGTTTCTTGTCCCTGCCCTGGGTTTCATTACCCTCCAAGGGTTAAGACAATGTTCAAGAATGAGCTTCCACACACCAGCCTATGCAACCATGAGGTGTCGAAGGGATCAGGTGTAAGGCATCATCAGAACAAAAAATCTTACCATAGTGAATGATGGGGG